GACCTGCGGGTCTTCGGGTGATGAATGTCATACCATCTCGACGTCTTCGAGAGTCGTGTTTTACTAAGGTCGATCAAGTATGGTTATAATTATATCACATTATGCCTTAATTAACAATTGGTTTAAGGTAGTTAGTACAGCAGTAGTCACTATAGTATAATACTACAGTACTTTGTTATTTTCCCATTACATCTACTTTGTGATCTTCTCACATAAACAGTAATACAAGAACTATATTTTATTAAATGATAGTCTCATTTGGGAGAAATACTCACTTTTACAATGAACAAACATGCAGTACCTGATGTCTTGGTAGAAGACTACTTTTAAATAGAAAATATAGGATTTTCAAGGAGTTACTAACAATTACTACAAACATTTTTTACAAATTACACACTCAAACACTTACAAACTTCTCATGAAATCGATGACACTAAAATGCTTATGAACTCACCAGCTTTAATGCTGATAAACTCTTTCAAAATAACTTGTATTCTCAGGTCATCAGTAGACAGGTACCAAGGCCAGCTTTTGAGAAGATGGAGCACTTTTCAAGACTCATCTTTTATTTTGAATCTTATTTTTGGTGTCTTATAAACTGTACAGAACACACTTGTATTAAAATACACTATTAATGCAATGGAGGATGTTGTTCGCTTGTTTACTATATTTCTGTGTTGTGATACTGTACATGACGTCCTTCGCCCCAGAACGTTTCCGCCGTTCCGGTTTTGGGGTGTGACAAAAGCCTCATCGAAATAATTTTTTTTCATTCATCATTCGTGATATATCGTTTCCTTCAAATCGATCGAAATCTAATTGTTACTTACTGGAATCGATAATCTTGTGGCTCGTTAATCAGAGTACTCAATCGATGGTGATTTAATTGATCCTCGTTGTTCATTTGTATCAAATGTCTCATTGTTGAAAGTCAAATGAATTTCTGATAAGTCAAAATCGAAATCAGTTTAGGAATTGAAATCGATTTCGATATTAGAGGGTCCTTTAATGATATCAGATGTGTTGAGTCGAAGTTTTTGGTGTTGAATTGTTGGATGTCGAACATTTGGATTGGAGTCGATTCTATGATCTGTTAATGTCACAGATTGAATTGAATGTATTTGAGGTCATGATTGTTTTGTTGTGTGATGTTCGACGGATCAAGTTTGAGTTGAAGTCGAAATTGGTCTTGGCTGAAATCGATATTAGATATTGGAATCAGTCGACTATTGTTATCATGATTTCGGAGATTTGGTATCGATGTCAAGTTTGAGTTAATGTCACTCTGGTCAATTGTTTTGAAAAGCAAAGTCTAAGTAGAAATTGGAAATCGATTGAAGCAATGATATTTGTGGTTGATGAACAAAAAGTGAGTGTTGTTGATTTTGGGGCTTAAGAACGAAGGTTTGAATGGTAAAGCATAATTTGTGCTTGATAACGAATGAGTGATCTAAATCAACGTATTCAATAGAATTGTTGATGTTGATGTCGATGGCTGAAAACGAAATGGGGGAGTCAAATCGATGGTTAATCGAAGGCTTGGGTGGATGACGATTTTGGAATTTCTATTTTGGGTTGATCAATTTGATCGTAAGGTTACTGGGAGTTGATATTTGGCCGTGATGTCGAACAGTTAATTGATGGTGTTTGGGTAGTCAATGATCAAAGCTTGGATATCGACTGGATGGTCACGAATTGTGATTATAGGAGTCGATTTCTCAAAATCATTAACGAAGGGTATTCAATTTTTGAGAATCAGGAATCAATTAACGAAGACTTGTTTTTTTTAAGTAACGAAGGGTTGCTTTGTTGATGCTTCGTTATTAAGCGTGAAAATGTTAAAATGGGTTATGGATTTGGTGAATAAAACTAACGAATGAGTGAAAGATTTCATACGAAGGGTGAAAAAGATTTTGTACGAAGGGTTGTGGATTCGTGTGAATTGAAGAAGAAACTCAAAGTTTCCTACATGGCCCTTAAAATTTCAACAGTTTGATCCTTTTTACAAAATTCCGTATGTTTTGATAAAGCTTCCGTATGTTTTGAAGAAGAGTGCAAAAGTTTCAAAAACGGTCCCTAAACTTTCGATAGTTAACATTTTTTCAAAATTTTCGTACGAAGGGATCAAAGCTTCGTTAGTTTTGAAGACAAATGGAAAAGTTTCGTAAGCAGTCCCTATAATTTCGACAGTTTGGCAACAAGTACTCAAATTCGAAAAAGGACTGTTTTTGCTGAGAATTGAAGAATATGCATTTCATGCCCCTGCAGTTTATGCAAATTGACGCTTTCTACCCAGCTTCGGAAAAAGGGGAGAGTTTTGCATTTTTGGTTGTTTTGGGCGCACCGGGTCACTGCAAAATTTTGAAATTGACAATTTCTACCCATTTTTGAGAAATTTTGTCAAAGGCGATCCGTGAACGAAGCTAAAAATTCAATATTTTTTGGGTTTTCCGGATTAAAGCACAAAGTTTATGCCACATGTTAAGGGGGAGTTTTGACACGAAAAATTCTGAATAGAGCACGTTCTCTTTCCTTGAAGGTTTTATAATCAAATTTCGATATAAAAAGGGGGAGAAATTTATATGGAAATTTGAACTTGAATTTTTCATATTACGCGGATTTGAAGACCGAAGTGACCTTGAATTTTTGAAGCTTACGAAATGATGCAATTGGAAATTTGAAAATGATTTCGTTTCGAAATGGGTTTGGTTTTATTGAAGATTTTTGGGGTGTGCTTTTGTGCTCAACTTTTGGTGATCAATTTGGAGTTTGAGAAGCTCGTGATCAATCGTTGATGCTCGGTTTGTATGATCTCACATCCTAGAGCCCAGATTGAAGAATCATGGAAGAATTGAAGATTGAAGTTCGTTTCGACATGTGTCACCCTTGAGGCTCGGATCGCGTAGTTGCTCGATTTTGGAAGATTTGAAGTGGGTCATCCATTCCTAACTTTGAGGGGGAGAAAGTTGGGGTACAAAGTTATCCATGTATGACTTTGTAATGGTTTGACTTTTGTTGACCCACTTTCATGTGGTGCATTAGCCTTTTGACTCATGAGATAGAGAGTGAGAGAGAGAGAGACATGTAAACACCTCTATATAAGGTGGGTTCATACCACTTGTAGAGGTGTGCTTGAGAGGTGTAAAACTTGAGTGTGTAAGTGTGTGTTATTTATGTAGACTAGATCTAGATCCCTTTTTGTAACACAATACATAATCAATACATCTCAAACACCGAAATCACCATGTTCATTGTGCAATCTTTAATTCCGCATGTCAAACCATGTTCTATAATCACTACAAATAGGTCTATTTTCCACCACGTCAGGTTGCAACTGACTCTTATCACCATGAGCCATGTAGTTATTTTTTATTACCTTGATAACCACCATTCCATTATTTTTGATTCCTTGTACTTCGTTCGTATCGGAATCGGAGATACCAAATGTTTCCATAGTCTTAGGAGCCTTCTCATTCATATTGAATGTAATAAATGTTGTTTCGGTTTTCGAAACAGGAGCTGCTCCCATCGTCGGTGTCGGCACCGAGCCAATCATGTCATTGATTCTGGTAGTAGCATCGAGATTGACTTCAACCTTTTTCGTTAAGTTTTCCGGTGGGATCTCCCCATCTTCGATGTCCTTATTTTCATCACCCATCCATGTATCTGATATGCCATCTTCCTCTTTTTCTTATTATTATTATTATTATTATTATTATTATTATTATTATTATTATTATTATTTATTCTACTTCTTCTTCAATTATGACATTTTATTCTTCTTTGTAATCTTTCTACCACCTTGTCAAACAGAGTCGGGTGGAAGGGGGTCAGTCGTCTGTATATTCAACTACCCCAAGATTGTGTTATTTTTCGTCAGCCATGACTGGTATCTCCTCATTTATCCATTTCCTCTATGACGTAAGTGTTGGATTAGGTTTCTAAGCCCATAACTATAATTGGTATGTACTTGACCCGATAGTAGCATGGTCCATTTCGGGTTGCCTTCACCAGAACAATTTGTTAGATGGATATTTGAGTAAGAGGTTATTTATGATTTATTAATATATTATAAGTATAATATATTAATTGAGGAATCATATTATTTAATTAGTATTGATCAAGAATTAATAAAGTGATCAAAAGAGACTAATTAAATTGATACATATGAGTTGGGCTAATGATCCATGGTTTGATTTGTGATGGGCTTATGGGTTAATCCATGAAGTATTTATCCAAATCAAATGGATGGATCATGAGCTAATGTGTATGGATTAGGGTTTCACATGACCCTTGATATTCTACACACACACACACACACACACACACACACACACACACACATATATATATATATATATATATATATATATATATATATATATATATATATATATATATATATATATGGAAAATGATTCGTACACAACAATTTTTATCCATACACAACAATTCATGCTTTATGGAGTTGTACAATACAATACTTTAATGCACAAATTGTTGTGTATGGAAAAAATTTGTTGTGTACGAATCAGTTCCCTATATATATATATATATATATATATATATATATATATATATATATATATATATATATATGTATATATATATATGTTTTGCTAAGCCCTAAAATCGACTACTACTTGCATTCCAAGAAGAGAAATCGGTTTTTAGTCTCCTTAGCCTCTCTTATATCCATCTACTTGTTTATTTGGTGTTTGTGACTTGTTTGAGGCACAACACTTGGGGTGCTAAGCTCTTGAAAGGCCAAGTTCTACAAGATACAACAAAGAGGTAATCTTCTAACTAGTTTTATTATGTTGTTTATGTCAAATTGCATGCTAGTGAGGCTTCATGCTTTGGAAACCAATATTGTATGTATAATTAGAGAAAACTTAGATCCAAAGCATTAGGGTTGTATGTGCACCATATGAATATTAAAGTACATAAAACCCAACAGTAAGAACACCCACCTTTCCCATGGAATAATATCTTTTGGACTATAACTTGATGAACGAGAAGATAACTTTGTCGAATCTCTCGGCTATTTTGGAGAAGTTCTCCTCGTCAAAAAATCTAAGAGGTAGCCCAAGTATTTTTAGCCAAGTGGTTCTTTCATATGGAAACTCCTTCTGATCTGCACGTATCATCCATTTGAACCAATCTTTCCACCTATTATTGTCCTCTAGGAACTCATTGGCCTTCACAGAGGTCCTCAAGCCCAAGGCAACACACAATCCTCCAAAGTATTTGGTGTCATCATTCATGAGGAGAGAAGTTGGTAGACTTACTATATGATCGAAACTATGTGCTTCACCAATCAAAGTCTTCTTGGACATCCAAGTGTTGAAGTTGAGTGTTATTGTGGGCTTGACGACCCCAGATCCACATTAGAACCCCCAATTACTTGAGAAAACGAGCGGTGGTCACACATATAGGTGGTTGTGGTAACATCATGTCTCTATGTTGATGACGGTGACCCTTTTGTTGTGCATGAATTGGTTTTCTCGTAGGCCTTGATAGGTTAATGTGCAGCGCAACGTCTCTGCACTTAGTTCCTTGGAGCCTCTCTTCCAAAGCTTTTCTATTTTCAATCCCTATGTATCTGATGAATGCAAAGTTCATCCCCTTGAAGTCTTTCTTTCCCCTGAGATAAACATCTACCACTTGCCCGAATTTTGCAAAAGGTTTCCATAGTTCCACCTTCCTTATTCCTCTGGGGAAGCCGGCGACGTAAAATTTGGTGACATTCACATTGTTGTTGTGTGTCGCCGTTGTTTTTCTCTGCCAGACTTCGGTCCACTCCCCGGAGTTTGGGAGCATTTTAATTGTATACAGATTAATGATAAATATAAGACAAATGTATAAAAAAATTTAATCATTTAATGAGTTAGATTTAAATATTATAAAAACTAAAATTAATGAAACAATCTTGCAAGTTTCAAATAAGTTCAATTTTCATGTATCCACTAAACATATTAAAAAAATGTGTGTTAATTATAACATAATGTCAAATCGATAAGTAAGACTTAATTATTTTACACTCCGGATTTAATGAATTAGATTTAAATATTATAAAACTAAAATTAATGAAACAATCTTGCAAGTTTAAAATAAGTTCAATTTTCATGTATCCACTAAACATATTAAAAAAATGTGGCATTAATTATGTTAATTATAACATAATGTCAAATCGATAAGTAAGACTTAATTACTTTACACTCCGGATGCCAAAGATACTAAATGTAACCATTAAATTTTGGCTATTTTGCAATAAATTTTAAAAATTTCAAGCTAGAAGCTAACATTTTGTATATGATAGTTTTCCTGATATTTTTTGTGGTTTTTATTATTCGAGTCATTTTAAATATTTGATTACTATCAATTTATTAAAAAATTTATAAATAAAACTTTAAAAATTAAAATTATGTTTTGTTGAGCAAAATTTAAAACTATATAATAAATTCCAATTTATTTTTGAACATTGTAAATAAAATTTTAAAGGTTTCTCTTCATCACTAAATCAATATTTCATTTTAAAAAAAATCGGTGATCCGACTTTTGTTTTTATTGTTATTAAATTTTCATTTTATAAAATGATATTTTTAATCTTTATAATTTTAAAATGTCATTTTGACATGTCGATTTTGAACTTTACAGAATTTCATTTTTACCCTTTTCATTTTCTAATCATTAGTGTATATAATATGATTTTCTTATAATTATCACTCCCAACTTTGTAAAATATCAATTTAATCTCCTTGGTTTTAAACTTTGTAAAATGCGCCTTTACACGTCTGACTTTCTAAACTTTTATATCAATCATCATCAACCGGCAATTAACACATTTTAACTTTGTAAAATATCACTTTGACCATTTCGGTTTTAAACTTTATAAAATATCATTTTGATACTCTCGACTTTCTAAATTTTTGTATTACCCCCATAATATATATATAATATGATATGTCATTAATAACTCTCGTTCGTTAACTTTGAAAACTAATTTTTTATGTGCTGCTTTTATGTATGAGTAAGTATAAATTCGAGGTGGTCAACGTTTCGTCGTAAATTTAAAACTTTCTTCATTAATTAAAAAAAATGTTTTGTGTCGATATGAAATCGAGTTTGTCTACGTTTCGATGTAATTTTTTTTAACGTTTTTGTGCTTATTTTTATACACTTTCTATGTATGAGTCGAGCACATATATTACATTTTTTTATTATTTGAACTTCCATTCGTTAACTTAAAAAAATCTTATTTACTTATTTTTATGTACGTGTCAGTATAAATTCAAATTTCTTTACGTTTCAACGTAAATTTTGTGTATGTTTTCGTGTTTATTTTTTATGTATGTTTCATACGATTTTAGTCGCATATAATACATTTTCATTCAATGGTATAAATCGGAGTTATTCAGTGGTATCGACCATGTATATTTATCTACCAACAGATGCAACAATATCTAACTTTTATCAATACAATTGTCAAAATTCAACTTAAAATCATTTATGTCACCGCAACGCGCGGCAGGTAATAAGAAAACTGTATACGCAATGTTGTTAATTTTAAATTAGTTTTTGTATTTTAACTCTAAGACAAAACTTCACAAATGGTCTCTATGGTTTCTCATATTTCCGTCCCTAAAATTTTTGTCCTCAAGGAAGGTCAATTTTGTTTAAAAACTTTTCACAACAATTATTTTCGCTTACTACATTAGTTTTGGTCTGTTAAGTTCCATCACATGCAAATTAGGTGAGGAAAAATACAGATTCCTTCCTTATAAGCAAATAATGTCTCCATTTTTCAAAAAAAAAAAAACCCCCCCCCCCACCCCCCCCCCCCCCCCCCCCCCCCCCCCCCCCCCCGCGAACGTTGTTGCCACCTTTCAATTTTTAGCGGCCCTCGAAATTTACACTGGCCAAAGACATATTCTTTTTTTGTTAATTATATTTTGACTCATGTACTCTAATTTTCACCTTGTTGACGGCACACCAAATCCACCTTATTCATCAGATTGACCTACAACACCTTCATATTTGACCCTTATCTTTATTTTGTTATTTTTTGCAAGGTAAAGGGCCCTCCTACTTTGTACAACATGTAAACCCATGAAGTTTTTAACATCCACCATTGTCTTGAATGTTTGACCCATCCTAAATGTTTTTTTTTGTGAACCGCCCCATATGAGCATTTAGCTGACCTACTCAGCTCTTTAAGAATTCTCTTCCTTTCATCTTCTTGAAACCTACAAGTTCATAATCATTAGTATCAATAACTTCCAACTCTTTGATATGTGCATATTTAGTTATATATTTCATTCATTATCTTAATATTTTTTGCTACATTTATGCTCATTATAGAAAAAATGTACTTAATTCGTTTAAAATATGTTTTGTAGCAACGAAGACATGCTCGGGATTAAAAGGAAGCTATTGCGGAGCTGGAAGTGGGAAAATTAGATCGAGTCAACTGAAGTAAAAAAAAGTTTTAAAACTGGAGTACCACGATGTGGTGATCACCAACCACGCCGTGGTGAATAGAAGCTTCCCGATCAATTAGTTATTTGGCGGATTCGCGATTTTAATGAAGACCACGATGTGGTGCCTACTGACCACAACGTAGTAAGCTAAATTCAGGTTTTATAAATACATCGATTCCTCTCTCAACCTTAACTAATGTTGGAAGCTATTGTCAACTTTTGAAGATCAGAGACATCCTTTGGAGGCTTTGGAGTGCAGAATTCGATTGAGATCTTGATTTTGAAGAGATCTAAAGGCAACATTACTCTTAATCACTTAATTATTTTGTTTTGATCATTTTTAGCAAAGTAAATTTCGTTTTTATGTGTTTGTTTACAGTAGTTGTGGGCTAAAAATCCTAACTTTTGTTTAGAGTAAATGATCTTGCATATTGTGTGTTGATTAAGTGGATTGGGATTCTTACTAGTTGCACTTTCCACGAAATTAACCATAGGAACAAGTGAACTGAATATAAGAGAAAGTGTCTTGAAATTCTTGGTTAAAAATCGTTTCTTTGTTTTCTTCTTTAGTTTTAAATTGCTTCTTTGCTAATTTGCTTCTTTGATAAGCAGTGTTTAAGTTTTTAGACTTGCAAAACTAGAAAAACCATCTCTTTTATTAATTGTTAAAAATTAGTTAACATCTAGTAGTATTTTAATTGTTATTATCGTTCCCTGTGTTCGATACCCTGCTTACCTGAACTATCCTTCTATTCGATTAGGTACACTGCCTATCGCAAAATAGTTAGTCTAGATTAGTTGGTTTATTACTTAGTACATAAAATATGTATCGCTCTTCATTAAGAATGTCACTCTTGCATCTGTTGTATGATTCTTCATAATTCCATGTTCATTAACGTTCACAACATTATGAAATTCACTCACATCTACATCCACATCATATAGTAGGTTTTACTCCTCTATGTTTTTGTCACTGTCATCATTGTCTTCATCAAAACTATCTCCACTGTCTTCATCATAACCATATCCACTATCATCTTCAACCAAACCCTCAACGTTTTCCACTCCTACTTGAGCTTCAAATACATCTTCAGTATTTAACGCATCATCAAAGCCACCCATGACTGAATAACCTTTTAAAATGGTTCAAACTCATCAACTCTTACACTATGGACTCCACCATCAGGTTGATAACTTCGTTCTTTTACATTTTGGAAGTTACAATCAACATGATAACTCGACACTAGTTCTTGAGCTTCAACTTCATCATTGTCTAAATTACCCTTGCACATTAATTCTTGAGCTTCAACTTAATCTTCATCAACTAATCCCTCATCATTGTCTAAATTACACTTATTCGCTCCTTCTTGAGCTTTGTCTTCATGATTAAAATCAACAGTTACATGACTTTGTTTGCTAACTTGTAACATTATATATGGTACAATAATCTTGGAATAATCATGACCTTCATCCACATCTATTACATGTGAATGCTCAACTAGATACTTGACAAGTTCATTTCAATTAACTTTCCTACTACATGAACATGCTTCTCTTTCACCATGTTTCCTTCTATTCAATTTTTTTTGACACAATGTAAGTTTCCAACTCCTCAATAACAACTTTGGAATGAGACTTAAAATAAGTAGGTACCCGAGTGTGTTCATTTTCAAAGTACACCCTTATAAGTCTATGTTTAGGTACATATGTAACCACTTTAAGTACATCTCGGTCATTCCCTAAAAGCATTAAGCCATAGTCTAAGGAGTAGTCTGTGGTACTGAAATGGTAATACAAGGTGTGCTCATTTTGGTACCCTAATTCTCAAAGCATGTCATCAATTTCATGTATTGAAAAGATATCAATGTCAACATAGTATATGTATGATACAATACCATCAATGTAATTTCCTCATGGTGGCTTGGTCAAGATACCACTATAGTGTATCTTCAACATGAAATAGTTGTCAAATCCTTCTACAAATACAAAAAAATATATATGGTAAACATGATGATAGTATTAGATAAACACATTGTAAGAGAAAAATTCTCATTTTTTTTATAGAACCATACCGTATTCGGCTTGCAAGTACTTAAAGATTGAAGTATTTTCATGCAAAGTCCATATTATGAGGACCATTGTAAATTCCTTATCAATAAACCCTAAAACCTTGAATTGTGTCTGGTAATCAGAAGGTAGGAATAAGAAGATGAATTGTGGTTTCTTGGGAGAGGGACGACGAGTGTTGACGTGAAATATGACGAAATACGTTGATGCATAATCATTTCCCACATTTGATTACAGGTCACATGTGAAATGATGCAACTGCCTCACCTAATT